TTGAAAGCTACTCAGAAGAGAGTTGATCAACATAAAAGGAGGAGTGTTGAAGAGGATATACAAAACAATCTAATTGGAGGATCAAATGAGAAGAAACCTAAGTTTAGTCCTAGTGGAGTTAGCGGTGCAACAATTAGTAAAGTTATGGAAGCTTGTGCTAAGTGTGGCAGATTGCATAATGGTTAATGTCTGATTGGTTCCAACACTTGCTATTGGTGTTGTCAGCTTGGACACAACAAAATATTTTCTTGCATTGTTCAGAAGACTTAAGGAGAAATGAGATCAAATGAGCACCTTCACAAAGGAATTTTGTCAAACCCAAGATGATAGAACCATCAATTGAAGGTTCAGTACAAAATCAATCCAGGCAAAATGTCCGACCGCGGGTTTATACTTTGACTCAACAGGAGCCCAATGAATCCTTAGATGTTGACAAGGATAGTTGAGATGGCTTTATTGTTTATTTTTAGTGACTTGTAATGTTATATTAGATGTTTTGGATTTAGTAGGTTATCTTGTTATGTTATGTCAGATATTTTGGGTTGATTAGATTATTTTGTTATGATATATCAAATGCTTAGTTTTTTGTTACAATGTTGAAGTTTATGTTAAATAAAATGGAAGATGTTGGTTGATTGTATAACTAGAAGTTGTATGTAAATTTTGAGGATGAAATTTTTATTAGGGGGGAGTATTGTAAAACTCGAAAATGTCAATTTTAGACATCGCACGCTTTTCGATGTGCCATGATAAACTTTAAATGAAATTTCAAAGTCGTCAGTTTTTTACGAAGTTAATTTTATGAATTTGTACATAAAATTTCGAGCAAATCAGTATAAAAGACTTATATGGAATTTCACATAGGTTTTAAATAAAAAATCGCCGAAGTTATAATTTGAATAACAAATTATTTAAATGCCCTTAGAGATATTAGAACAAAGATAAAGCAAGTGAGGGCAAGATGGACTTTTAGCAATCCCTAAACACCCCGTAGCTTTAAGGGACTTTCGTTGAGTCCATCTTCTACTACCTTGAATTACTGTAGTTTAAAGGACTTTAATATGTTTAAGGGACTTTCGTTGAGTCCATCTTCTACTACCTTGAGTAACTCAAGATGGACTTTTAGCAATCCCTAAACACCCCGTAGCTTTATGTTTAAACTACAGTAATTCAAGGTAACGAAAGTCCATCTAAATTTCTTCTTTCTTAGTTTCCTACTCATCTATATTAAATTCCTAAAAAAAGCTTATATAATTGGCAACAACTCAGAAATCATCTACACTGTTATCAATGAGGGGATCTTTATTTGAGTCTTTATTATAACAAATTGATCTCTCCCCTGGCTCATCCTGTGGAGTTCAATGCCTCACAATCTTAATCTTTTTTTATTTATTTTAATTATCTTTTTCTTTCATAATTATTTGTCATCAATATAAAGATGAGAATAATACTAAAATTTTTTTATAGTAGGATGTGGTGGTGGTGTGCGGCTTTCAAGTAATTCTCGACGGTGGCTATGCTAGTGGTGGCTATGACAAAGGCGATGGGCTAGTGATTGAGGTTGTTGAGAGGAAGTTGTTTAGGCTTGGGGGTGCATGAAGACATACTTTGTTAGGGGCTTTAGTTTAGGATTTAGGTATGCCTGAATTAAAAAATATATAAATCGGTTGAGGTGTACGCCTCATAAAAAAAGCTTGAGGTGTAAGCCTCAAGGCGTTTTTCACTGGAATTGCGTTGAGGCAGGTCTCAGGGCGAGCCTCATATTGCGCAATTTTAAATAATGGTTATATGTTCATAACTCTATTATACATACTCAAATCACTTGCATTTATTTTTCATTTTTTAGCCTTTTTCATTTTTTTATCTTTAATTGATATTACCCTAATTATCCCTATGATATAGTCATTCTTCAATCTTTTTTTTTGCAGCTTTTCCATTATCCATCTACTACCCCTGTTCGTTCATATTGACTATTATATGAGATTAGGAGTGTAAACGAGTCGAGTATCAGCCTTATCGAGCTAAGCTCATTTAATTATATATGAGCTCGAACTCGAGCTTGGCAATAGCGCTCCAGCTCGGCTCGAATACTTGTGCTGGTTTGGAAAGCTCGAGCTTGACTCGTTTATTTGGCTCGATTATTTAATTTTAAATCAGAAAAAATAAATTTTATTAGAATTTTACTTCCAACAATGACTTAAAATTTGTTCTCAATAAGATAACCAAGAAAATAAAGTAAATTCAATTTTGAATTTCTTATAAAAAAATCACGATGTATAACATACAAATCAATACTAGTTTATAATTTTATGCAATTTCAATGACAATTTTGGTGTAGTTACTTACAACAATAAACATTTCATAAAGTTGAAACTAATCAAGCTAGAAATGCAAAATATATGAAAACATAAATTTGTGTCTATCATTAGATCATTACAAAAAAGTAATTGAAATTATACAACCCATTAAGAGTTCCATTATAAAGCCAAAAGAAGAACTCAACAAAAGTTAAAATTATTCATTGTCTTCATCGTTGTAGTACTTCATACTCTTCCAATTCTTCCATCTTGAGTTTTGTTTACTCTGATGTGGAACATAAGAAAGACAAATGCTTAGTCCAGTAGAATGACCACGTTTAGCAATTGATAAAATATTTCAAGTAGAAGTAAATATACAAGCTAATCTACAATTCACGTTTAGCAATTCATTCTTCGCTCATTGAGTCAGTGATTTGTGTTAGTAACTAAGTTAGGCAATTAAACAATCTTCCTTATCAAATGTACTTGCAAAGACATACTAATATTTCAATGTAATTGTATAATTGATAAAAGATTTCAAGTAGGTAAAATAGAGGTTCCAGGAGTCTGCTAATGTACTGTAGAACCCACGTTTATTTAAACCCCAATAATCAGTACTTTTCATATTTTCCTCCATTGTATTTTCCATTAACATAATAATAAGATGCACTTTCTGTGTTGTTAGCAAATAACTTAGATAAACTATAGACACACAATATGAATATGCATTTAAGTTACAACTTAATTATGAAAATGAACTCATATCTAAACAAAATCATCTCCGTCTGTAGCCAAAAAAACCATATTCAATTTCTAACAGGACAAAATAGTGCTAATTGGGAGTTGGGACAACGGTTGAACTAGACGGAGAATCAAACCAGGAAAAAAAAAAACAGAAAACTATTGACCTTCGGAAAAATCAACCAAAAAAAAGAAAGAAAGAAGGATATTAAAATAGATGAAATCACGAATTGAATAATCCCTCACCTCATAATCTTCAAACACTGCAAAAACCTTGCTAAGAAACATATTAATGATTTCATTGAAATGGAAATAACACCAATCAGTAAGAGGATCGAACAAGAAAATTTGTAGAACATAGAACACAACAAACTGCTCAATTCACCGAATATGAACCTCTACAAGTGTTGAGGACCGAAGAAGAAGATTAAACTCAGAGTGCGGACCACGTCTTGGCGTCGAAATTATCGCGTCTTGCACTCGCTAGGTCACGCGAAGATGGATGTTCGCTTGAACTCCCAGCTGTCACCAAGGTGAGAATGAAATTAGGGCTGGGCTGCTTTCGAATCGGATAGTTATATCAAGCTTTATTTTATATTATTATTTTTATCTAGTCCGCTCAACTGTAAGCTCGAACTCGAAACTCGATAAGCTCGACTCGTGAGCTCATTAACGAGTCGAGTTTGAGTCGACTTATTTGGTATTTTCTACATTTTTATGTTTTTTTTTTCAGGCAGCTAAACTAGAGTTCATAGCTATTTCAGGATATCACAGACGTAGGATTATCTCATCTAATGTGGACATTGTCATAGCTTTTTAAATTTTCACGTCTTGATCTCCTTTCCTTATTCTCCTTTACCTTCTTGATGTAGTATCTAGCATCATCATTTCTTTCATGCTAATCCAAAAATTCATTGTTTCTCAAGCCTCAGTTTTCTCATAATATATTTACCTGAATCACTATTGATGCAGTGGAGCGGAAGAAGTGGTGCATATGAATGCAAAGACAATGTTTAAAATTGAGTATTCGGGTATTGAGGCGTTTTTCATTCGTGAGGCGAGGCGTAAGCCTCAAGGCGTTTTGAGGCGTAAGCCTCAAAATCAAAAGATTGTGTAAGTATAAAATGATAAATTTTTGATATACTAATGAGTGAAGTGAAATCAAAATATCTCAATAATAAGACAATATGAAATATAGTTCAACTCAAAATTCTATCTTTCCCAAATCCTAGTATTCTTTTCATTAACATATAATTCCAATATCCAAAAATAAATATTAATGGCATATCATATAAGAACTCATAAGTCATAAGCACTGTCATCACTAAGGGGTTCTTCATTTGAATCATCATTATGATAAACTGCTCTCTCCCCTTCCTCCTTTCCTATATAGTCCAATGTCGGGCATTTACTTCAAGATTTATGTAAGTTTTAATATATATAGCGTGAGGCGTAAGCCTCATGCCAGTGAGGCGAGGCGGGACTCAAGGCGGACCTCAATCAAGTTGAGGCGCAAGCCTCATAAAAAAAACTCGAGGCATAAGCATCGAGGCGTTTTTTACTTGAATTGCGCAAAGGCGAGCCTCATATTGCGCAATTTTAAACCATGTGCAAAGCCACAGCATATATCCTAAAGTCTCTTATATTTTCAAACAAGAGAAAGTTATTGAAAAAGTGAAGCTTTTAGATTTACAATCCGTTTATTATTTAATTTCCTAATAGTGCAAACTGGCTTAACCTTTCCTAAACATAGAATTTGACAGTTATTTCTATTTGTGTCTAAGATCATGATGGTATATCTGTATATAATATGTTTAAAACATGAGAAAAAAGTTTGTAAATGGCTAGTTGGCTGAATTTATGATCAGTATATAACTTCCTTAGATTGTGGTAACTTTTTAACTTTGTACTGAACCTATAACTTGATAGGTGTTTATCTCTGACCAGGTTCTTGTTCTACAGGATTAACAATTCAAGCAAATATGTACTACAAAATGCTTATTGGATGGACTAGCCAAAAGATTAAGGAGGCTTATGGAACACGCAATGCATTTGACTTCAAACATGGTACTTTTTGAAAACACAAGTTTTGCGCTTATTTTATGGAAGTTAGCTTAATTTACAAAGGCTTGCAGGGGATTATCTGTTCATCAAAGTTGGTTGATACTTGATACTTGCTCGTGTAAAACGGAAACTGGCACTCGGAGTTTGGTATTGATAAGTTAGTGAGAAATTTAAAAATAGCATTCTACGTCAGCATCAAACATCCTATTAAATGAGTTCTTCAAAGCTTATCGACAAGACCAAGTGGAGATCTGAGGATCTGGGCGGAGGCCATTCTCCCCCCTATTATTGTCCCTTATTCTGCCACTTAGGGCTAGTTTGTTTTGAGATAAGTAGTTACAAATGACTAGAACTCATTTTTAGAATTGAGTTTCAAGCATTTATTGGATAGAAGATGAATGAAAGCAAGTTTCTATTTTGTTTAACTCACCTTCATTATGATTAGTGTGTTTCCATTATGAGGGTTAATAAGTCATCTTCAATTTTACTTTTGATATACGCTAATAATAGAATTATCTAAAGTAAGACAGTGGGTTGGAATATTGTGATTATTTATAGTAATACTAATAATATAGTATAAATTTAATAGTGTGCAAATAAAATGAAACTCACTGCACTCTAAGCAAACAAAATAACTGCATTCATATTAATTAAATTTTTGTTAAATACATAAAGATCAACGAAAACTCATTGCAATTGATCTTGTCTCTTAAATTGGCCCTTAAAAACATTTGGGCCTTTGTTTTTAGATGATTGGTATCAGGAGATTTTTTTTCTTAGCAATGTAGGGGATAGAAGATGATTGGTATCACGTATATGCTCATTTTTGTTTAGGCCTGCAATGCTTTATGGTGCCGAATGTTGGCCTTTAAAAGAGAAGCATAATACTAAGTTAAGTGTGGCAGAGATGAGGATGCTCAGGTGGATGAGTGGCTTTACCCTTAGAGATAGGATACGAAATGAGCATATACGTGAAAAGGTTGGAGTAGCTCTAGTAGAAGATAAGATTAGAGAAAGTCGCCTTAGATAGTTTGGTCACATAAAACGGCGGCCTTGCGATGACCGGGTTAGGAGAGTAGAGGTATTAGATTTGACTTATGTTAAGAAAGGCAGGGGTAGACCTAAAAAGACTTGGTTAGAAAATATTAGGAATGACCTTTCTTTATTAGATTTAAACGAGAATTTGACTTTTAATAGGACACAATGGAGAAAAAGGATTCATGTAGCCGACCCCACGTAGTGGGATAAAGGCTTGATGTTGTTGTTGTTGTAATGTAGGGGATAAAACAACATATTGTTGGCAAATGACATTTTGAGTAAGAGCCTTTTAAAGGATATTGTATCAATTGAACCATTGTATGTGTTCATGTTTGTAATGGATGTATTGGTGGGTGGTGAAATCACCCTTCCTTTACCTAGTAAATGTCAATGTGGACGGTTCTTGATAATAGAGCTTCAATAGAATTTTGAAACACTTTGAGCCATATGTGTCAAGTTGATAAGTCATAGTTATTATATGTCTTGCTTTATGTTATTTTTTCCTTAATTATTAGTTGTTAATGCTGTCATTTGTCATTTAGGATTAGTTTTGCCTAATATGTTTTAGGGTAGTTTTACCTTTAGAAAATATGGCCTATTATTATAGATTGTGCCTAGACTCGTGTAATTTAGATTTTTGATCATTTAGTAAATGTTTCATTCTATTTTGTTTCTCTTTCTAGCTATGTGGTAGTTGTTTCCTTTCTTTTTGCTATGTTGTGTATTGGGAAACTCTTATTTTCATACCAAAATTTTAAGTTGCATATCGTATGTAATAATTGGTTCAACTGAACTGACTGAATGCTTAATACAGTGGGCGAATTACAGGCAGAGCTGAATAGAGCGGCGACCCAGACGAAGCCTCCCGCGTGCATGCGATCCAGATGAGTTGGTTTACGATTCTAAGCGAAGGATTGCTAAGTGGGAGAAAACTAACGACTCCTCGTGAGTAATATCTATCATGGTTTAAAATTGCGCAATATGATGCGCCTCAGCGCAATTTTAAACTTTAAAGCCTCAAAGTCTACGCAATGAGAACTGGCATTGAGGCGTACACCTCAAGTTCATTGAGGCGCATCTCAAGGCACGCCTCGCCTTATGCTTTAGAGGCGTCTGCCTCTTAAAATAATAAAAAAAACCTAACCACTCGGTACAACAATGCTCGGTATATGCTCGGTACCCCTCAGTACATGCTCGGTCCCGCTCGGTACATCCTCGGTACCGCTAGGCACATGCTTGGTACCGCTAGGCACATGCTTGGTATCTTTCCATCCAAACGACTTACGAACTTTAAAAATAAGCAAAACTTCAAAATTACTTTTACAATAAAAATAAGGTCGAACCCCGCCAGAGGGCAGAGCCCCCTTGGACCCCCGGCTGCCCGACATATTATTCTATTCATCACCTTTAGTAATAGTTATTAGTGTTAGTCTGCTTCTTCATGAGTGCATGCTTTGTATAAGTTTTCTTAATGTAGAATAAGTGAAGCATTATGTTTAGGGGTTTAATATGTTGCACTAATATATTTCACTAATAGTTGTTAGTGTTAGTCTACTTCTTTATGAGTTGAACTATATTTCATTTTGTCTTATTATTAAGATATTTTGATTTCACTTCATATTTTGTACCTTTTTATGTTTTATATTTTTTACTTATTAGTATATAAAAAATTTATCATTTTATATTTACGCAATCTTTTGATTTTGAGGCTTACGCCTCAAAATGCCTTGAGCCTTACACCTCACCTCACGAACGAAAAATGCCTCAATACCCGATTACACAATTTTAAACATTGATATCTATATTTCAATCGTTCCTGTGAAAGAAAACACAAGAGAAATTTTCCATTGAGAGGAAACAACAGGGAGGAAGAAGAAAGTGGAGAATGAAAGTAAGTTTATATATTTTAATTATATTATTTGGCAATCTCCTCTATGAATGAAACTTAAATGAGAGTCTATATTTAGTCTGAATGCAAAGGAAGAACATTTGAAGAAGAAAGAGGAAGAAATGATGTTGAGAAGATTTTTTTGTAAGTGATTTCAAAATTTCTATTCTTTTTTCTTTTTCAAATTAATGAAAATAATTATATGAAAATATTTTGATTTAAAAATAACAGTATCTGATTTTAGTGAAATTAAAACATAATATTATCTATATTATAAGGAAGAAGGTTTGTTATTTAGACTTATGACTCCTGAAATAAATTTTGACTGTTATAGGTTAAAATAACTTTTTAAAAAATTAAGGATTATCACAATCTACCCACCTTTAACAAACGTCCTCGGCATTTCCAAACCAGAATAAGTTAGAATAAACCTGGATACAACGGTTTGATATCATATTCTTTCTTCCAAGTAGCATCTCTAGCGGTCATGTGCTTCCTCTGCACATTGACCATAGAAATATGGTAGCTTCTCAATTTTCTCACATCATATGTCAAAATCCTATCAGACTCTTCCCTATAGTAAATATACGGATGAATCTCAACATCATCAATAGATAATCTCTTTCCAGAATCAGATACCCACTTTCTCAAAAAGATACATGGAACACATTATGTATATCGGACCTATGATCATGTAATAATAACCTGCAAGCAGAATTACCAATCTTCTTAATGATCTCAAAAGGTCCAATGTACCTTGGACTTAGCTTGCCAATTCTCCCTGTTGAACCTTTCAGGGCTAATTTTGACATAAATAAATTCACCAATATGAAACTCAACCAACCTGTGTTTCTGATCATAATATTTTTTCTACCTATCTTGATCAAATCTTAATCTTTCTCTAATAAAATGGATCTTTTTTGTAGTGTCATCAGCAAAGACTGGCCTATTACCTGTATATCTCCCACCTCTATCAAAGTCAAAGGAGTCCCACATTTCCTACCGTACAGAGATTCGTAAGGAGCCATACCTATGTTGTTATACATAAACTCTATCAGCGGAATATGATCCTCCCAACTACCCCAAAATCTAGAACACATTCTCAGAAGATCCTCTATTATACCAATGCTTAGTAAAATTAAAACATAATAATGTCTATGCTATGTCAAAGACGGTTTGTGATTTGGACCTATAATGACTCCTAAAATATTTTTTTATTGTTATAATTCAAAATAGCTCTTTTAAAAAACTAAGGGTTATCACAACTGATACCGCCAAGTATGGGTGTTGTAGGGAAATAAAGGCAGCATACTTGCTTAGCCTATCCAATATTACCAAAACCATCAAAAAATCCTCCGATTTTGGCATACCTTCAATGAAATACATGGTTATCTTTTTCCACACCTTCTCGGTCATAGCTAGAGGTTGCAAAAGTCCTCCTAGAGCCATTGCCATATATTTGTGCCTCTAATAGATATCGCAATTGGCCACCATCTCCTCCGTAGCTTTCTACATTCCAACCCAATACAATTTTGCTACAGCCTATGATAGGTCTTCTGTACCCCCGAGTGCCCCACTACCGTGAAACACTTGCAGCAAATGGGGTACATATGGCAACATCCTCAATATAACCATTCACCCTTTGTATAACAATCTCTAATCTATTAAGGTATAGCCTAGATAACTATCCTTGTTCATCAATAATTCTCTCATGATTTTCTCCAATCCTTCATCTTACTGACTTTCCTTCTCAATGCCTCCCAGTCCACAACTAAGGGAACAGTTAATGCCATCATGCGGGGCTCCCTAAGAGGCATTGAGAACTGGTGTGGTTCAGTATGAACTCGACAACTGAGTTAAGGGATACCTCTGCAATATCTAAGTGTAAGTGATTATCTTCCTCATCACAAACTGTTAGGACATGTAATGAACGGTCCTTACAATGGTGGCTTGGAGCGAACTTTTCATCACACTTAAAGCATAAATCCTTAACTATGTTATCCCGAATTTCTAGCTCATCTACCTCTTGAAGTTCCCCCTGGTCTTAATCCTTGACCTTTATCCCTCGGAGCATCTTTTTGAATAGGCACTGTCTTCGCTTTTGGTGTCAAAAATATAGTGGTCATGCCTAACTGCTGCTACAGCTACTCCTCTCTAAGGAATTCTTATCCCCACCAACTGGGCTAACTCCATAGCCCCTAAGCTACATGGTCTCAATACTTGAACAACCGCTCGAATTTTAGGCTTAAGCTCCTTCATAAAATTCTCCTCTAGCACAGTCTCTGACAACCTTCCCTATCGGCTTGAGGAGTACTTGAACTTCTCCCAGTACTTTATTACCATCCCCTCCTACACCAGAGCAAAGAATTGTTCATTGAAGTATCTTTCCCGACTAGTTTAGAAATGTTCTAACAAACTGTCTTTGAACTCCATCATGATTGAATCGGATCTCACAAATCTCCCCATTAGTACTAGGACAGAGCCTTCCCCTCAAGACATAGAGTGACTACAATAAGTTTTTCATCTTCTGTTAATCCATTTACAACAAAATATCGCTTCACCCTATAAATCCACATGTGAGCATTTTTTTTTATAAAAAAAATGACATCTTCAACTTTCTCACCCTATAATCTCCATCACATCAATTGCTTCTTCCTTCTCCATTATAGTGGGTGTTGTGTTCCCTCCATGTTTTCCTCTCCCCCAAATCAGCTCTTGATCTTCACCATCCCAATTTATTCACCGGCCATACCCTTCACCTGTTACCCTCCTTAGAAGTGGCTTCAAAAGTGGCATCTCCTCTTCTTCTCCCAAAATTTTCATCTCTTGATCCTCCCTCATCGTCCCTATATTAGAGTTTTCCCCATTTCCTTATCCGGTCAACGGTTCCCTTTCCTCTGATGATTGCATCTTAGCTTGAACTCTACCATCATTTTCATCATCTCTTCCAGATTTGAAAATCTGCCCTCAATTGCTGAAATTTACTCTCTGAATTCAGATTTCAAATTTTCAACTTCTCCATCAAGCCTCTACTCTAACACATCAATCTTCTTAGCCGTCATAGGTCCAAAAAAAAAAAGCTCTGATACTAATTTGATAGGAGTCCGATCTCCACACAGTCAAAAAGCAACAATGAAGAAGAGAAAACACAACATAAATCAATGATAAATAATAAGATTATTGACTAATTTTATTGATATTGGTAATCTACTATTTGAGCGGTGCTCTCAACAAATCCTAGGCGCCACTAGGAACAACTCCAAAGAAAATGTCTACTAAAGATAAAATCATATAATGAAAATAAAATAGCTTAATTAATCCTAAATAAACTTTTCTAATTCCCTCCCAACTACGAATTCAAATAAGTCATATTTCCTTAGATAAACCTTCCTAATTATCTCTCCCAATCTGAACTCAAATTAACTATCTTTTCCTAAATAAACCTTCCTAATTTCTTCCAAATTTTGATTTTCTATGGTAAGTAATTAAAGGTATAATTAATCCCCTTTGAGCCCCCCTCTCTCCTTTCCTATCGCTCACACTAATGGGGACCACTGGGCTTTTTCGTCTGCCAGATAGACTGGCTCCACTTGCTGGGGCCGGGTTGATTGGATGGTTTCATGAGTGGGAAAGGAGGAGTCTGATTAGAGGAGGCTTATGTTTATAAGGGAGTTTACACATTTTCTTTCCTTTTTTGTGAAAATTTTTAAAGCTTTATCTTTTGATAGTCTTCTTTTTCTCTTTAAATTTTATTTAATTATTTGTAAAATAAGGGTGTATGGTTGGATGAAAATTTTAGAAAAGGAGAGAGTGGAAAAACAAGACATGATGTATTTATGCTTGAAAATTTTAAGAAAGATACGAAGAAATTATTATACATCATTTTAATATCAAATTTATGTAGAAAAGATTCATGTAGCCGATCCCATGCAATGGAATAAAGGCTTGATGTTGTTGTTGTTATTTTAATATCAAATTAATGGAGGCGTTAATGCGTTTTCTATCTTCCTTTTCTGATTGGACAATGGAGCTAGGATTTGATATCATGAAAAGAACTCTCCGTACAGAAATTGCAGATGAATTGATGAAAGGAGGAAGAAATATGTGTGCACTACTTGGATCAATGGCCTCACAAGTAATCAATTTCGTTCATTAATCAATATCCAAAAAGTCCATACAAGCAATCATATTTAGAAAGGAAAAATAGCCCTAAATTATGGATGGAATTATCCTTATTCTTAATATATTTATTCTAAATAAAAAAAGAGAAAACTAAGTACATTTCAACCAAAATTAATGATACGTTGAAAACTAATTTGATTCAACTCTTTTGTAGATTGGTTTAACTCCTTGTGGTTAGCTTATGAGAAACCAAACTTGTGTGTAGATTTGGCAGAATGGTTTTCCAAAATAAATGGAATCCTTTGTCACGGTCAGGTAATCAAATTGGTCTTAATTTGGTTTTATATCTCGGTAGTTTTCGTTTCCAACTCCCGATTAAAAGAAATAATTCTATATTTAAGCCTCCAAGTTGGAAAATTTTGAAGCTTGCTCTCTTGTGTTTTAATTTTTTTTTTTTAAAAGCTTTTGGTTAGTTTATCTGCTGTTGAACTCTTTGCTTTCAAAGGTCGAGCAAATGTTTTTGTGTTGTGTTGATGAGTTTATTTTCTTTCGTTGGATTTGGTCAAAGTCTTGTTATTGTTCAACTATAAGCACATATTTGTAATAGTTCTGTTTCCTCTGAGAGTAATTGGCCAAGGCTCAAATATTTGATTCAAAATACGCCTGATATCTATTTTCATATGTTTCTATTGAATATGAGAGAAATGTTTTAATCCCTCAAAAGTAAAATAATAATCCTATCGGCAATTGCTAAGTTTAGAATGCCTGTACCGAAAGTTACCTGAAAAGATGCAATTAACTAGATTTGACAGGAAATGCAGGTCTTAACAGGAATGTTCTGGAAGTATGGCAGAATGGTTTTGGCTAATGCTTAAATCTCTTGATATTTGTTATTATTCCTGAAATTATTACGTGATAGTTACACGTATTATGTTGACTAGAGAATAATACTCATCTTTCATAAAACTAGGAATTTGTATTCGGTTATCTCTGAGTGTGGATTTGCATGGCATTTCAAAAATTTTCTTTTTTTTTTCAGACTTTGGCATTCCAATATTTAACACGATACTCGTTTACAATGCTTTATTTCTTGGTACTTTTAGTTCACATGATATCAATTTCCAGCTGCTATTCCAATTTTTTTTTGTTTCTGTTATCCCAAAGTTTAAATAATTTTATTAGTTATTTTCAGAAGAGAGTCTAGGATTATCAACTATTGTCTACTGTATATTTGCTCCATGTTTTTTTTTTAAATTATTTAAATAATTTTGTATTGATCATGTTATCTCGAAACCTGATTTATCCAACATATTTTTAAATACTTATTTGTTAGACTAGTGGCTCGTTCATTTTACTGACATTTATTTGTGTTTCTAGAGTTATATTTTCTGTTCTCTGAGATTTATTGGCATAATTATCTATTTATCATGACACAACAATATTAAAAAAAAAAAAAAAAAAAAAACCTTCATTTACCATGAACTTGCTGAAGGCTTTCTAATAATCATTGGTATATCACCAGTACATTGTCACTGTATACCTAATAAAGGTCTTGTTTTCAAACTTGGACATAGGATGCTTCATGGCAAGTTAACATTTGAATTCATACTGAGATTGTTCAACAGATCATCAACATTAAGATATCTTGATGGTTTACATCGTCAGTTGGATGCATTACGAGATTGCACATATCAATACATCTCAGTTTACCTGTCAATCACTTAGAGGCTGTGCAATGAATAGATCCATGACATATAGATGCTTCCGAGATTGCTTCAGTCCTTTCTTGTAAAGCTGCTGATCCGAGCAATAGTGGCCCTGCTGGTCACGGTGTTAACTTTAATCAAGTAGGGGACACTGTTAACTTGAAGGGTAATTGTAATCCTGGTTGTTAGTTTGGAGCAAATATTGGAATTTCCCCACTGGTGGTTTTTCTTCTTTTGTACATCACCCTTATGGTGTATATTAATTCATTGAATGGCCAATATCATGCTTGAAAATTTTTTCTTTTGTATGCTCAGAGCGAGAACTATTAAATTTAGAGAATTGGAGAGGGAAAATGCTTAATTTTCTTGCTCAGACATGTTCCTATTTATAAATCTATACAAGATATTTTAATAAAGAAAGAAATAATTATAAAATCATACATAATTGCTCTGATATGATCCTTCCTAAATCCACCTAAATATGGAAGGAGATCGGCGCTAGTTGAGCCACCCACAAATCCCCATCCTAGCCGGGGGATCAAAATGCCAAGGGACGGCTGGGATTTTACCCTCCCCTTCAAGCTGGGGAATACATATATGTTATTCCCAGCTTAGTAATTAGTCTCAAAAAGGCAGAGTTATCTAGTCCCTTGGTAAAAATATCTGCAAGCTGATCTTTTAATGAGATATGGTAGATACATATAAGACCACTATCTAGTTTCTCCTTTATGAAATGTCTGCCCACTTCTATGTGCTTGGTTCTTTCATGTTAAAACGGATTGTGAGCTATGCTGATTACTGATTTGTTGTCACAGTATAGCTTCATGGGTCCTTCCCACTTGATCTTTAGTTCTTCTAAAATCATCTTGATCCATAGTAGATCAGATATTTTCAAGGTCATAGCTCTGTATTCTGCTTCTGTACTAGACATTGCCACCACATTTTATTTCTTGCTTCTCCATGTAACAAGATTTTCATGCAGGAATGTGTAATATCCTGAGATAGATCATCTATCTACTGGTGATCCTGCGTAATCTGCATCAGTATATGCTTTTGGGGTTATTCCACTGTCTCTTATGAAGAAAATCTTTTTACTTAGGTTTCCCTTAAGGTAGTGTAATATTTTCTATATAGCTTGCATGTGAGTTTGCTTTGGATTTTGCATGAACTGGCTGATCATGCTTATAATAAACACTATATCTTGTCTTGTGTGGGAAAGGTAGATCAATTTTCCCATAAGTTTCTGGTAGGCTTCCTTATCTACATTTGGACTTCTTTAGCTTCTCCCAATTTGAGACTTAGTTGTACTGGCTTTGGTGCCGATTTAAAAGCTAGCTTATGTGTTTCTTTAAGAAGATCATTAATGTATTTTTTTTGTAAAATGAAGATTCCTTTACTGGAGTTGGCTACTTCAATTCCAAGGAAATATTTTAATCTACCAAGATCTTTGATCTCAAAATCCATGGAAAGACATTTTCTCATAATTACTCTCCTTTTCACCATTCTCAGTCAAGATGATATCATCCACATTAGCTAATAAAATTGTCTTCCCTTATGTCTGAGTGCTTGAAAAATAATATATGGTTCCCTTGGCTTTGCCGATAATCATTAAATAGCATGACTTTTGAGAATCTTCTAAACCAAGATCTAGGTGATTGCTTTGGTCCATATAAAGTATGACATCTCTAGGTTCAGCATTTGGATTGACCTGTTTTGACCTGATTGGAAACATTGTAAGAAGAGGATTTGGGGATGAAGAATATGATTTTTTAGCCATTTCAGATTATTTTTAGCCGTCGGCCTAGTTCAGAAAATTATCTGAATCGAGGTATGTCACATTGCGTTTATCTCGATTTTAAAAAATAAATAGTTTTTATCTAATTTTTTGATAAAATTTTTATTTTCGTTAGTGAAAAATGCGGATACTTTTGTACCAGTAAAACTTTTACCTCATAACTTTTTATATGTTATAGAGATTGAGATTATGAATGTTGAGTATTTTCTGAAAATTTTATAACGAGAGTTTTGAAATTTGTGAGATTTTTATTGAATAGAAAATTATCTGGATGTTGAAAAATAGTGTTGTATTATGATAAAAGTTTTAAAAGTTTATTTTACACAATCCCTGATAATTTGATTATTTTTAAAAAATATGTATTTTTGCGTAATAGGTTTTTTTGTTGCCTACCGTTAGAGAAAATTGTGCAATTTTCACACATGCTCAATTACGCTTTAATTTCTATAATATGATGAAAAATGTGCCTATGTGATTAAATAATATATGTTAGGAGTCATAAGGGATCAGAATTTTTTGATATTTTGTCTGTGTCATGGAATATTCTTGTGCATATATGCTATTTTCTAGTGCATATGGGCAAGTTCTGGTGCTATATGCACAAAAGATAATCATAAGGGGTCAGAATCCTTTTGAGATTCTATTTGGGTCCGGGGAATATGATATGAACTACTCTATGATATGAATTGCATTTTATTCATCTGCTCAGTATTATTTTTTTATAATTGGATAACTGTTATGCTCATATTATATTTCTCAGTACAGTAATTTATTTTATTGCATTTAATTAATTTTAAATATTTTAAGCAAAATGTTGAATAAAATAATTTTGAAAATTTAGATCGTTTTGTGTGGCCTGCTAAGCTGTTGTAGCTCAATATGATTTTGCTTCTGATTTTTTGGCTCTGAAAAGTGGAAGGAGCTTATGGATTAGCAGTTCAGGATTGATCAGAGTTTATTTGTATTTCCTTATTTTGATATTTTGTACAATCATGACTAGTTTATTATTCGATTTTGTAGTATCTGCATGTAGTCATATATTGTAGTGTAGATATATTTTGAAGAAATGAAAGAAATATTATGGATGAGTTTTTTTTTAGTATTTGAATATTTTAATAGCTCTGTAATCTGTAATTTATTTAAAATGAATATTGAAAGAGAATTTGAAATATTTTAAAATTAGATCTTGGGATTTTCTTGTCACGGCAAAACACTATAGGAACTGTCATAGTTGGGTTGAGTTTACACACTTTGTCACCTCCTAGATTTATCTTTGAATCCTAATTGAATCTCCATAGATATTTCTGTCTCCAAGTCCTCAAGTTGGAATATATTTTTGACATCCAACTGTTATAGCCAGTTGTAATTAGCTTCTAGTGAGAATAGGATCCTCATTGTGTTCATCTTGGCCACAGGTGCAAAAGTTTTCTAGTAGCCTATGTCATATGTCTGAATTTACCATTTTGCCACAAGTCATATCTTATATCTTTCCAATGTACCGTCATCTTTCTATGTCACAGAGAACACCTATTTGCATCCGACTATTTTTTTCCTACTAGTAGGTCGTTAATCTCTCAGGCATTGCTTTTCTCCAGGGCCTGCATGTTGACCTCATTTTTGTATGAGGTCATCATGTATTGCCCCAAACTCCCGGTTCTATGTTCCATAACTGATAGCGTGCCACCTGTTAGTCGCTTCAGCAAATCCAAATCAATCATCCAATCCATAAATCAAACCCATAAATCAAACACACACCCTCAATCAAATACCAGCCAAATCTCAATCAAATTCAGATTTCAAACCTACCCAGACTTTTGAACTTTTCCTGATTCAATCTCCAATCAATCATTCAACATTTAATCAAATCTAATCAACCTGCATATATCTAATCCTCAATCAATGACCTGCATTCAATTAAAAC